CCGGTGGGAGCGAAGAGGTTATGGCGACGGCGCGCTCGAGGAGGGGCGGAACCTTCTTTCCGCTTCCGGCAAATGCGCGCAGCCGTCGCGCGAGGGACGCGAATGGACTCATAAATGGAGGGGGCCACCGACGAAGCCGCGGGCGAGCGTGGATGAAGCGGGTGTGCGATCAGTTGAAGGGAAGCAAGGTGTAAAAATGGTGATCTGTTACTTTTCAAATTTACTTAGCCTAACGAGAGAAACATACTTTCTGCTTTTATTGGAATGTCGTAAATGAAAAAGATACAGCAACACAATAACAATTCTACCTAGTTTATCTATTGTTCTTACGAAATTCTGAAGCAAAATACATTAAAATGCATTTAGGAAATTAAAGGTGATTGTTTTTCTCCCAACCTTTCTGTTTCTTGACTTAATGTATCAACATTACCCCTACAGCAAAATAAAATAAATTATGATTCTTGGAAGACTGTGTAGAAAATTTACAATTTGTTTATCAAATATAAATATTTATTTCAGTTTTTACAACTAGAATGCACAATTTTGCAATTTCAAAATGAAATGCACAAGGAGTAAAGATAAGATAAACCAAGAGGCAAAGGAATTTTTGTTTTGAAAGTAAAAAGAAATATTGCGCGCACAAATCTAGTTCATGTTTTAAAGAACTGGCAAGAACAATATATAACAATACAGCCGAGAACGTTGGTAATGACACCAACCATACTTACTTCTCCGTCTTATTTTGTAAGAAAAGAAAGTATTGAAATCGTGAGATGAAAAACGACGAATTTTCAAAAGAAATTACATATTTCCGGGCACTAGCAACCAAAAAGTGAATAAACCTTGTTTCTATATACTATAACTTCCTTCTTTCATTGTGTTGTCAGAATCCATGTTTTGTGAATCCATTATGCCGAAACATCGATTGTCCGCAAAACGTCTGCTTGTCTGTCCATCTACGGAGAACATTAGCGCCTAAACTTTTAAGAAGGTTTTCTCAAAAATTGATATTTGTCAGTCATTTCCAGGATCTCGAGGATCTACGAATTTGAAATGTATATTTTAATTTTTGGAGATGCCTTACATGAATCTTGAATTACACTCTCAAAGGTTTCTGGAAAAAGCTCCAATTTTTTAAATTAAACTTTCTCCTTCAATAGCATAAAAGACTCAAAATCATGGGGTAGACCTTATTTTCGTTCAGATTCTTGTCATTTTTAATATTGCAAAAGTTCAAAATTTCATTGACGTCTTCTTACAACTATAATATTGAAGATTTATTTCTTAATAAAATCTGTGTTTCAAAGGCCGATCATAAAATAAACTCATATACAATTTTTTTATGTGAAACATACGTAATTAACTTTTTTCCAAAACGGCTCCAATTTTTCTCTTTGAAGATTGTTTTCGGGCGTATGAAATAACGGTAAATAGTAATCCTAGTCTTGCTTTCAATGAACTCTCATTTGAACATTGCTAAAAGTTAAAATAAGAAAATAATGATTTTGAAGATAGAGATTTTTGTCGTAAATGAAATTTTCTAAAAAAAATTAATTATATTAACTAGTACTTTACGTGCATTTTCTGCTTGAAATTAATGCAATTTATAAAAAACATTTTCTCAAAAACAGGATAAAATTATTTCTTTTCAATTTTTCTACGAATAGAATAACGACACTTAAAATATAGTGGTGGTCTCCTACATTTGTTGCATTCTCTGAATGTTTGAAAATTGCAAAAACTGTTAATACTGCGCGAATGTATGCGCTGTTGTAGCTCTACTACTTTATACATCACTTAGTAGATTACTCGATACCTGGTATGAGTCCCCTCCCTTTCATTATTTTTTCTGCAAACATAGAATCACGTATTTATTGCTTTCATCGCTAGAAAGGTATTTTACAAATCAGCTCTCTGCGCGCTTTTCACACACTCGAAGGCTTATTCAAGCATATAAGCACTCGTGCAAAGCGCAATTCCATGGTATCCTAAGCTTCACTATCATTAGTGAGAAAGAAATCACAAAATAGCGCGTGGAGGAAGGTCAATAGTTCATCCGCAATCAAACTGAATGCTTCCTGCCTACCGCCGATGTCCGATGTAGAATTGGAAAGGGTTAAAGGTGTTGACATATACAACAGAGGGCAAAAGCTATGAATGGTGGGGAACGCAGATGCGTCCAGCGCGTTGCAGCCACAAAGAGGAAAGCGTTGCTCTTTCTGCGTCTCCCTTTGCCATTTAAATACATCCTGGTCACATCCTGAACAAAAAACGCACAAACCGAGCCGGAAAATGTGTTGTAAAACAAATAGCAGATAGTTTCGACAGATGCCTTACTCCTTGATGTGTACAGAAGAGAAAATACCAAATCGGTTCTCAGTCGTCAGCATCCAGAGGATGTCTCGTGGATAGCTCAGATCGTGCCGACGTCCAGGAGACATACAAAATCGAGCCGCCGAAATTACCGTCGTCTTTCAGCAAAGCCGTGCCAAGCGGAAGTCCTCCGAAGTGCCATTGTGGAGATTCCAAGTGTAGTGCGACATCGTGCTCTTCCTGAAATTCCGCAAGTCGTGACTTGGGCCATAGCCAAACCCGTACAGCCCCCTCGACCTGCAGAAAGCATGAATTTTTCAATGTGCCAATCAATCACTAAAATATATATCACTTTGTGTTCGAAGGGAAAACTTTGTTACAAAATGTTAAATATTTAGGCGTATATAAATGAAACTTTTTACTGAAAAATTTGAAAGAAAATATATTTTAAAAAATAATTAACTTTGCACATAAAAGCAAAAGTTGACTAGAAAAATTAAGTTTCTACACACTACATGTTCACTCACTCATAAGAAATATTACAACTTATATTACAAACACTTTATTTACACGCCCTTTTTCAAATTTGACTAGTAATTCTTTTAAACCTGTCTAGGGGCTAAATCAGAATAATTCCACAAGTTGAATTAAATGTGGATCGGTTAATCGCAAAATATCTTGATTTAATACAATATACAATTCAATACAATTACAATGCGATTACAATAATCTCTTTTTTCTCATCATTTACCTTTTATCTTGCTTCCCCATACATACACACTTACATATTTTACTTACACGCATGTCTGGAGGCCTGTCGAGTGCTTTAGAGCTTGTCTGTCCAGGCCGTGACCCGTTGAATACCCAAAATGAAAGTAACATTTTATGCACAGAACACATAATTTTCGGTTAAGCTCCACTGCCAAAAGTTCCCTTGTTACAGTACCATGGATCTGGTATACTGCAACTGTTCTTTTTTTCGTGAAAGACTGCTACAGTGAACAGTGTTAGTAGAGGTTGTTTCGATCTGCTTGGAAGTCCTTCTTCCGTCACATCGTCCTATCTTCAATCGTCAATTCCGGCGGCAGTTGTCTGTGGAGAAGGAAGGAAGATCTCGGCACCCGAGGGCTGCTGCGTATCAGAGATTGAGGAACAGAGAATGCCCCTCCCCCGTGTGGCGGCGAAAAGGGCAGGGCTGAGGCACGGCCTTCTGGATCGCGGGTGGAGGGAGGCGAACGGTCGGCCACGGTGCGCTTGGAAAGATGGTCAAAAGACTGAGGTTATTCGGCGGCGGAGGAATTGGAACTGTATCCCCGTGACGACTCAAATAAAGAGATCCTGCTGCATAATTGAGATCTATTGCTGAGTGTCTAGCTTTCCGGCAATACTTACGTCATTATGAGTGCAGTGGAGCCTAAAATATTGGGATAGAGCATTTAATTATCGTAAAATTATGATTTATTATTTTATCTGCTGTAGAATTTCAGCAATCACACATGTCTTACACAAACTTGCACTTACACCACCACACTTTTCAGAGCTTCTCGCCACTAATGTGGTGCTTCGCTGGTGGGAGATACCTGGATGGAAAACCCCTGCTAGTCGACGTGTATTTCAATATTTAAGTACAAAGACCAAAAAGAAGCTGAAATCTTTGGTGTATATCGGTCTGACAGCTGATCTTGGGGTTCCCTCCATTCGTCATTAAACATCGTAATCCCCTATTCATTAAAATCATTAATCCATTATAGGGATGGCTTTAAAGCTTAGGCACTGGTATCATAACAAATAATATAAGCTTAGCCAAATAAAGCGAACAAAATGCATTACGCAGACGAAACGGCAATATGTAGCGTTTCTTTCAGCTGCCGAACGTCAACTAATCATAATCTGATTTGATGGCGTGCCGGCCATGTTGGCGACAATGAATTGCCATTAAGTGCATCCCACATATCGCCACAAAAACAAATAAGCCTGCAATGCAATTCTTAAATTATAAAGCTGTTATTTTCTGATAAAAAATATCTTACTGAGAATCGGATTTATATTAACACCTAATAACATAGAATTTTTCAGTATTCGTAAAACACGGATACATGACACAATTATGTAGCAAAATATTATTACCACCGAATATCTTTGAATAAAAAAGCGATTTTACAGAAAGACATAAATTCATATTATATTTTTCGGGCATACATATTTTTTCGGGAATAATGATGGGTTCAGAAAAACAAAATATTGCATATATTTTATCTCTAAATCAGCTAATTTATTCGTTTATAATTTTCAAGGTTCAGGAGCTCGTCAACTTCACAGAACATTGAGGCGCATGATATAGTGAATAGGAAATCTAATGAATAGATGATAGCACAAATGGTGAGGTCAATAATGGTTTAGTTGTGGAATGACGGGAACGGACGAACATCGAGGATACATCGCAGAGCTCGCCTTGTCTACCATAGATTCCATCTTGAGTGGCCAGGAATGGAACCTGGGACTAGGCGGTGAAAAGTGTGTACGCGACTCATTTCTTGACTGACTGATTGAGTATTCTTGGCACGTCAACGGCTACAGTGATTTGTCTCACAAACGTAGTGCATGTTTTTGTCGTGCAAGGTGGCGGTGATCTTTGCTCGCTGGATGGAGAGATCCAGCGCTGACTTAGGTTGACTTGCGGAGATTTTCCTCTAGCAGGTATCTCCCTGCAGAGGGGCAAGACTAAGCTTCCGACCGATCTCCCGCCGTGTGTGGTAGTGTAGTGCCTGTTGTGTTAGTAAGAATCGAGGAAAGAACAAGAAAGAGGAAGGGAATATCGTGCGCTGTTTGTGTTCCATTTGTGAGGGTAGTGATCCGGTAGTGATTGGAGAAACTACAGAAAACTAGCTATCACAGCAGCCGGCCGCTAGAATTCTTCCGCGAGCGACTGAATTCGGCCAAGCTACGCAGCCAGTGTCGAAAACCTTGTCGCCGTCGGGACTCGAAGCCTAGAACATCCCGGTTAGAGAGGTTCCACTACACACATTACGTCACGAGCCCCACCTGAAAAGTCTCGACCTCTATTTCCACCTGCACCCTTTCCCTTCTTTTTGCCAGGTGTTGGGATTTCCTCCCCAACGCATAGAAGGAAGCGTACGGAGCCCGGGGGGCGG